GAAAACTAAGAAAGGATTTAATTGACTTGTACTCTTTTGAACCTTAAACGCACTGAAAATATGCTTTGAGTACTGTGTGTACATATAATAGTTTATGCATAATATGTTTAGTTCAAACAAACAGGTTTCATTGCTTAAATTTTGAGATTTTTCATATCTCCACGCTTTTATGAGTTGAAGAAATGGAGCTTCAGTGAAATAGATAATTGACCTGCAATTTCTAGACAGTTTCTCAATTGGTGCAGAGAAAAAGATTTTGCGTGAAATATGATATTTTTTTAGGTTTCAAACAGCATTTTTTCCTATTTTTTGAAGTTTTGCTTTTACTCTGTCTACCTAACTAATAAACCTAACTAAAAAATGCATTCTTTTTTTGAAAGTGAAATGCAAACATGCTTTCGGTCTTACTTGAGCTCAGCCAAACTGCGGGTTTGCAAAGACAGGCGTGTCGCGCAAAAACCTAGCAATTTCAGGAAATTTTAAGTTGTAAAATTTAAAAAAAAAAGAATTTTCCACGTTTTCTGTCTGGTTTCAAATTCATTGTTAACCCTTTTTTTTAGTTTAACAGTGAGTGATAAGTTTCGTTAATCTTATCGTTCAAAGCAGTTTTTGAAGGGTTACTATACGAACGCCAGGTAAGTGCCTCTTACTAATACCTCTTTCTTTAACTTCTCTTTTTTTTCGTTATAGTTTTGCTAAGAATATTCTAAGAATATATTAAAGATAAATTTAAAAGACTATAAGGTGTGGACAAAAAACAAGACAAAGCACAAAATTGTTTGCTGCAGCAGAAGAAATACCTTCGAGACGCTTCAACGCAATTTTTGTTCTGCATGTACACAAAATAATCCTTCCTGGACGAAATATACAAACCCCTCCTTTTTTCCTGAACTTCTCTGCATCCGTTGAGAAATCTTCAAATTTTCATAATGACCTCAGATTTAACGGTTTCCCTTCCTCCTAATTCCTTCAAAATCTGTAACTCCTGCCAAGTTTTCACCTCGCAGAAAAATAAACGACTAAGCAGTTTGGGTATTTTCAAGTGATAAAATATGAGTAACTTTACTTGCGCAGCTGGCTCCTTAATGTTTTGAGAACAGAAATTCTATATAATACTGCTTTCTTGTTATCTTCACTTTAAATTTTTTTCACTTCATCAGAACTCGAAAGTAGAACAAGTAGATGTCGACGTATAAGAAGACGATTGTGTCGCGACCACTGACACTTTTTTTAACTAAAGGATGGCCAAAGCCTTTCTCCTAAAATGCTCTTTTAGAACTCAAAATATTTTGTTTTTATACTGTTGTAAAGCAAAAGCAAACTTTATTGCTTTTGCCTTCTTTATTGATCGATAACTGTTCACGGTGACTCTCCTAGTCGGTCTGTCACCAAAGTTTAGTGCCACGCGGGTTTCCAGTATTGAATAACGAGACGTTTATTTCAAGATCGACAACACAACACGCAAATCAAACCTCAAACTTGGGTAATTAAACCTTTTTATTTAATGTACAAGAAAAATGGATGTAAAACGGCAAGTCCTCAGTATAGACAAAACCAGTAACAAAATCAACATAAAACAAAAGGGCATTACTGCTCCATCGCCTCTTTTGTCGTGCGTTGACCTTCTTATATAGTCTGCTCTAGCGGGTTATCATCCTCTGTTTTATCTCGTTTCTAACTGGGTTTAAAGCTGACGATGTAGGGACCGGATTCTCTTTTTCTGTATCTCCCTGATAATCCTTATCAGCTGCTCCCGGGATTTTCGGGAGTGTCTAATCTTTGCCTTTCGGCAACAACTGTAGCCCCAACAACTTTCGCTCGAGAACTACAGCACTAAGCACTGACTGTAAATTTTGGTAACATTGATAGACTGTATTTTTGCCAACAAGTATATCGACAGTAGAACTTAGATCTTACGATGATGAAATGTGATCACCCTCGATTGATTTATAATTTTATTTGCTTGATAAGGCTGTCGTACACGCGTACAAAAATAATCCTAATAATGAGGAAAACTATCGCACACAAGTACTACAGTTACTAAAAAGAGAGTTTTTATTTTAATAAAAAATACAAACGAATAACTTTTAACTACCACCTATCACAATAGATAAAAAACAAAAACCAACAATTTAAAATAAACAAGAGAGAAACAAACTTGAAGAACACAAAGGCTTCAAGAACGAAGAACTTGAGAACGTAGAGCAATGTCAATCAGCATTGATTGGAAACAATAATATTGAATGATAACAGTCAATAACGATCAGTAACACTTATTTATAACAGTAACAGTATAGAAGCTCTAAACTTTTTTTATGCTCTTTTTTTGTCGCCTGACCTACTGCCCTTCCTTGAGAAAAAGGTGTTATCGACTTTGACAAAATTAACTGCAACTCCTTTCCGCCTAGTTTACCTTTGGGTTGACGGTCACCTCTCCAAAGGCCTTCCTTCAAGGAAAGTCATCTGTGTTAGCCATGTACTTTTCGCGCGCTGCCGCGATAGATTGATACTGTTTAGCATTCTGAAAGGAACAATCTTCCTAGGGTGCACCCTACGCTAAGTATTGAGCTCAGTAACAGAAGCATTCTGACAACAGCAATCGACAGCATCTTGAAATAGAAGTGCCTTAGCTAGCAATTCATATTTAATGCTTTTCATTAGTTGTGATTTTTTGGTCTTGGTTTCCGACGCACTTGTAGCCTGGATTTACTCAGAAAATGACTGTTTCTGTTGATCTTGATCGGCTCTGAATTTGTGTGATTTTGATAGGGTGCCATTTTCCATTGTTCTGTTCCTTAGCTTCGTTACGTTTTTTGTGTTGGTTAGTCTACAGTTGAATAAGTTTGTAAGCTACTGCTTGTTGTGGCTAACGGGCACCTTTTTAACGGGAAGAGTTACTGCAGTAGCAATTTCTTTACGCTCCCTACTTGGGCCTTTGATGACACAGTATTCCTACTGCAGGTTGTAATTTAGCCCTTACTTTCCACAGTGCCAACCACAAACTGTTGATTTCTCTCATAGGTTCTTTTAAGATCTCCGATTTCTATATCTTCGGTTTTTTCTGCGACTCTTTTCGTACCCTAAATAGCTCGCAGACAGTGACTAACTGCGATAACGCACGCGTTTTATGACTTAACCTCTTTATTTTTACTTCACTCATATAATTACAATCAGTAATTCTCCAAAACAATAGTTCGCACTTAGTAACTAGACTTCAATTGTAACAATAAAACCAATCAAAAGCAGTAAACAAAAATGACAACTACTTGAGAATCCAATGAAGAGGTTTAAAGCTGCCAATCGGGTGCGAATTGAAGAATAGAATGAATATGAAATTGAGCAGTGAAATCAAGAAATAGCTGAATAAAGACCCGAAGCTTAAGGCGCTTGATGTAACGTTGATGGCGAAGCTGAAAATTATTAGAACAGTGATAATTAAACATGAGACTTGTACCTCTTTTATACCTGCCTTCCGTTTGCTCACGTGCACAGGTGCTCAACTCCTCCGGGAGCTCTCCCTGAGGGAGCTACAGTGAGCTACAGTTTCCCTGAGGTGCCCTTCGCGAGCTGTTTTGAAACTTCCTGTTTAGTGTAAACTTCGGTTAGCGATTATTGTTTTTCGGTTCTACTGTTAAAGGTGGTAAGCATACGTAAGAAGAAAAATAGAATTTAAGCATTTTATTCAATAAAAGTATAGATAATGACAATAAGACTTGTTAAATTTAAAGCTATTAAAAACAGTAAAAAGAAATTTTTTCAACAATGATCTAATAAATATATATATATGGTAGAATTGTTCCAATATTAGTAACAAAGAGAAGTCAAAATTTACTTTAAATTTTTGCACACAAGTTTAAATTAAAAACACAACAAAAAAGTTATATGTTGTTTAAAGTAAAAAAGGTCACAGTAAATTATAATTAAACGCATCTGCAAAAGCTAAGCATCTCTCAACGAATAATAAAGAAACAATACAGTTAACATTGTAGCAAAATTGAAAGCTTCAATAAAACAATAGTACTTCACTGGACAATGTATTATAAGAAGAAAATAATTAGAGTTAGTGACTAGAAGCTGGTCGAGTTTTTTTTATCTACAGCTTCACCGGTCAGATGCAACTTCTAGCGGATTGTTTTCGAACAGTAACGTTTTAAAAAACATTTGACTTCAAAATTTTTGTCCATTTCTGAACGTTTTCTTTTTTGTTTAAAGAAATTCAATACAAAATCTACAAAAAACTTTTTGGCACAAAAATTAGAAATAAATTTTGGTTAATGGAACTGATTACTGGGAGACCAGTGCACCATGAATTATTATGATGCCAAAGCCCATGTTTATTCTGTGTGCTTGATCATTCTTTTTTTAAAAAAATAAGCCAAGCTTTCACTGCAAATAGCTTTTCTCGCGTTTTCAATTAGAAAGCAAATTTCTAGATTAGAATCGAGTAAAATAACTTCCTTTTTTTGATTTTCTTGGCTAGAACAATGGAGATCGTACATTTCAACTCGCAAACACTCGGAAAAATTACACTTATACTGCGATAAAGCTAAAAGCGAAACAAACAGCTAAAATAAGAACTCTGATAAAAACAGATAAATGAGGCGGAAACTGTTTACAGTTGTAAGGTGTTAACGCAACATTGCACTAAACAAACAGAAACGAGTCGGTACTATTGAAGGATTTGTAACATTTGCAGTTGTCAACTCGAGACAACCGCGTCCAAATGCCATTACATGACTGTGACCCTAACAGTTTCCAGAAACCAGTTTTGCCATCCTCTAAGTCCATTGCACAACTGTAAAGTTTGGTTAAATACATTCTGCCACAAACGATAAAATTTATAATTCTTTAAACTTTTTTAGAGCAAACTTATTTCTTTTAATAATTACGTTAGAAGAACTAAAAGTTGTAAGAGTTACACTCAAAAAATTACCGAGCATCAGGTCGATGCATTTGTGCATCTGGTTGACACTCCGCACAAATAACGTTTCCTTTGTAAAGCATATGTTTATATCTGGAATCCACACAGTTATGGTTCACCCATCCTAACCTGTACTTCACGCAGTAACTGCAAATAACAACTGAAAAAACTGAGAATTTAGTAAAACCTACTGATTGCTTGTCAAACTTTATTGCTTTTGCCAAAAAGCATTGCAGTTATCTAAATAAGGTAATTAACGAATAAATCTTAGAATTCAAAAAAAAAAATTTTTTTTTGTTAAAAAAACATTTTCTGTGAACTATAACGCTGTTCAAGATGTTTGATGGTTACAGTGCATTAACAAGCTACAGATAGTTTTCACTTTCAGCACATTCGAAAACACGCTTACAACGACAACTGAGACGGGTCTATGTCGCGATGAATGTAACGGTGCCCAAAATTGATCTTTCTTTCACCAATTTTTTGATATTTGTAGTCCAACAGTAGAGCAGCTGTTTTTGTATCTAAAAGTTCCTCATATTACTGAGTTATATATCACCTTGATCATTCCTTAACAGACGGTTAGTTTCTTTTGTACATTGCCACTCATTTCAAAAAATGAGAACAAATATTTTTTTAAAAAAGGTAAAATTTTATTATCAGACGCAACAAGGCACTTTTTGTCAATAGTTGAAGTGTTTCTCTCAGAGAATATTGACCCAAAAGCTTTGTCTTAGAAAAAAGACGAAAAGAATCAAAGGTTCTTAAGTACCTCTCGAAGGACGATTTCGACACTGTTTGAAACAAGTTCTTTCTTCCAATAAAGGAGAACAGTCTTTACCGGCACCCTTTGGCAGTTTGCTGATCCTTCTTCTTCGAGCTTGAACTCCAGTACCACATCCTCGTATTTTGTCGTCCGGGATACAAGAAGACCATTTGCCCCAATTATCGACTACACAATCTTGAGCTAAACAGGACAAAAAATAGTAGAGGTAGTCATTCAACAGCTTAATTTGACTGAAAAGCTGTTTCGCAGTTTTTTCAGGTTAAGTAGACAGCTAAAAGACAGCTAAAACTTATACCGTTAATACTATTAAAAGATGACAAACTATGAACTAAGATATAGTGGCTGTAATAGTTTTAACCGTTTATTAGAAATTGATCATAAAAAAAACTAAAGAGTGCGAAAATTTAAGTATTAAAAATAGATGCAGAAAGAGAACAGAACGTTTAAAGATATCTATGCAACTTGCATTCATTTTTCCACTCATAACATGTGTTTTGAAAAATTTTTCTATTAATGGGTAGGCTTCTACTGCAATCTGGAAGGTAAACATTAAAAGAATTCTGAAAACTGGAGTTTTTTAAACAAGCCTAGAATGTCACCTGTATAGAAAAGAAGAAAAAAAAA